TACTCGTCCTCATCCCCCTGCCACCGCAGCCGCGGAGCTCGGTAGAGGGATGGGGCAGATCAAAGATATGCCGAAGTCGCAGCGGCTGGGCTCAGAAGTAAAAGGGTGGGTACCCCGTCCAGTCAAAACCCGTCAGAAAGAGCTGAACGTCGACATTTGGAAGGGTTACCAAGGAAAGGCACGTCACTGAACGCAGTTCTCATTGCTGGTGTTCACACACAACGAGCCCCGCAGGTCGCCAGAGAACCAAGCGGAGATGCGCATGAAGCGGCACCACAAGCAAGAGAGGAAGGAGGGCGACGGCAAAGGCGACAAAGCGGATGGCGGCCATCATAATGGGGGCCAGCGTGGCAACCAGTTCAAGGGCGACCAGCCCAAGGGCGACCAAGGCAAGGGCAAGGGCGGCCACGGCTGGGGCCACCACGGCGACAAGGGCAAGGGCGACCATGAGCGACCACCTCTCCAAGCTCCAGCTCGTGGTCTTGATGCCGCAGTAGCGGCTCACGAGGAGCACCGCGGCAGCTGGCCAAGGAGCAGCTGGCAGGACTGGAGGACATGGGATCCGAAATGGCGCTGGGGTTCCTGGGATCCGTGGGATGCGGGATGGGGCTCCAGGTGGTCGCGAAATCGGGGCGCCGCGGTGGCGGCTGATACGCCGCCTGCAGCTGAGACTGAGACGCCGCAGTCGCGGCCTGGCGACCGCGAGCAGGCGGCCGACGACAGCGCATGGGCTCCATCGGGTCCGTCGGCGACGGCGTCGGGCAGTTGGTCGGCTCCGTCGGCCGCGGCGCATGCTCAGCCGCCCGTTCCGTTGGGCGCCGTGTGCAGCCACTGGGCGCCGCCTCCATGAGCCGCAGTTGTGGCATCGCAGCGAACAACATCGCCATCATCGCTATCATATCTCAACATTTGCGCGCTTTGTAACAATCCCTGGGGACTGTTTTCGCTAAGTTTCTAAGTTTCGTGAAATGCGCTTTAGGATTAGCGAAGCGCGCGTTTGGTTCCGGTCGACGAAATGGTGTGCGACAAATAACAAGGTGGAGTCCCGTTCGGCGTGGAACAATTGAGGATGTCCCTGGCGAAACGCGCGTTTTATCAACATGCGTTGAGGATGCTTCAGGTGAAACGCTGGTGTTGCAGAGTTGGGGGGTCGTCTCGAGCGGGGGCTTCGTTGGGGGCCAGAATTCAAAGGATGTCTCAGGCAAGATGTTTGTTTGCACGTGCCCATGTCGCCCAGGAAGTATTTAACATGGCTGCCCCTAGCTGGCGCCCTCGACGACCGCATGTTAGATGTCTTCCTTGGGTGGGCTTGAACCAGGTGTTTTCACATCCCAGGTGTGCATCTAACACGGTTGCCCTGAGCTGGCGCCACGTGCTTTTACATGTCCATGCCACCCCAGGAGGTATCTAACATGGCTGCCCCGAGCAAGGACCATGTGTTTTAACGTGTCCAGGCCAGCCAGGGGTGTATTTAACATGGTCGCCCAGAGCTGGCACTATGTGTTTAGTGCCCGGGCCACCAAGGGGGTATTTAACATGGTTCCCCCGAGCAAAGACCACGTGTTTTAATGTTGCCAGGCCACCCAGGGGCGTATCTACCATGATTCCCAGAGCTGGAGCCATGTGTTTGTAGACATCCAGGCAACGTTGGGGGATCTCTAACGTGGCTGTCCCGAGCTTGGACCACGTGTTTTTTTACGTATACAGGCCACCCAAAGGGGGTATCGAACATTGTTGTTCCGAGCAAGGACCACGTGGTTTAACGTGTCCAGACCATTTTGGGGTGTATCGAACATGGTTGTCCCGAGATTGGACCATGAGTTTTTACGTGTCCAGGCCACACATGGGGGATATGTAACATGTTGTCCCGAGCAAGGGCCACGTGCTTCAACGCGTCCAGGCCACCCAGGGGTGTATCGAACATGGTTGTCTTGAGCTGGAGCCACGTGGTTTTTACATGTCCAGGCCACCCAAGGGGCATCTAACATGACTGTCTCGAATTGGAACCGCGTGGTTTTACGTGTCCAGGCCGCCCAGGGTGGTCTTTAACATGGCGCAACCAGGTGCGTTAACGTGACCAGGCCACTTAGGGGGTATCTAACATGGGCTTCTTGGGGCTTTTTTGGGGGCATGGAGCGGACGTCGAACATGAAGATGTGTGGAGGATGTCTCGAGCACACCATTTGGTTTCACGTGTCCAGATCGTTCTGGCGGGTGTCTAGCATGAGGATGGTTTGAGGGTGTGTTGGGCGAAACGCTTGTTTGCACGTGTCCAGGTCGCCCATGCGGATGTCAAGCATGAGGATTTGGGCACGATGTCCCGAGCGAAACGCTTGACCCCAGCACGTTCCGTAGCGCGCCCCCGTGGCACGTCCCGCGGTGCGTCCCCGTGGCACGTCCCCTGGCACGCCGCTTGGCGCGTTCACGTTCCGCGGCGCGTCCTCTTGGCATGTTCCCTTGTCAATTAGCTCTGGGGCAGCTACTTGGTGCGGAGGCAGCT